ACTTGGAGACTGAGGTGGAGACTGTCAGGGTCCGTGTTGGTCTGTCTGATGTCTGTGGTGACGTGCAGTCCAGATTCCACTGCAGCCGGTGTTAGAGACTGAGGTGGAGACGTCAGGGTCCGTGTGGTCTGATGTCTGGTGACGTGGTCAGATCCACTGCAGCGGTTTGTTAGAGACTGAGGTGGAGACGTCAGGGTCCGTTTGGTCTGGATGTCTGGTGGATGTGTCCAGATCCACTGCACGGTGTTGGAGTGGGTAGGGGCGGAGGCTGTAAGGTGGTCACCTGCCGGCTGGACTCTGTGAGGTGACTCGTCATCAGTCACTTGCAAAGCGACTCCTGATGGTGTGGACGGTGCTGCTGAGCCCCAAGGATTATGGGTGGATGAATAAAAAGATGGTGGACAGGGGGCGGAGTCTGGAATAGAACCAGGGACAGGTGATACATGTGTGTCAGAGTCCAGATCCTCTGGTCAGATATTCCCTTCCATACAAGTTGGGACAGCTGTTTCAGTCAAGATTAAATAAACAAACAGATTAAACAAAACTGACTGACTGACTACTGATGACTGGGACTGATGACTGACTGACCTGACTGATCTGATGACTTGACTGACTGACTGACTGACTGACTATACTGACTGATGACTGATGACCTGACTGACGATGACTGACCTGACTGACTGACTGATGACTGACTGACTGACTGGCTGACTGACTGACTGATGATGACTGAACTGACATGACTAACTGACTGTGACTGATGACTGACTAAACTGACTGATGACTGGACTGACTGACTGACTGACTGACGACTGACTAACTGACTGATGACTGACTTGACTGGACTGACTGACTAACTGACTTGCATGAGCTGACTGACTGACTGGAACTGGGCTGACTGACTAAACTTGCATGATGACTGACTGGACTGAACGACTGACGACTGACTGACTGACGACTGACTTGTGACTGACTGATGACTGACTACTGACTGACTGACTGGACTGATGACTGACTGACTGGCCTGACTGACTGACTGACTGATGACTGACTGACTAACTGACTGACTGACTGACTGACTGATGACTGACTGTATGACTGACTGACTAACTGACTGAACTGACTGACTGACTGACGGACTGACTTGACTGTGACTGACTACTGACTGACTGATGACTGACTGGATGACTGACTGACTGACTTGACTGACTGATGACGTGACTGACTGACTGACTGACTGGACTAGATGACTGACTGACTGACTGAATGATGGGACTGACCTGACTGACTGAACTGACTGATCTGACTTGAATGACTACTGACTGACTGACTGATACTGACTGACTTACTGACTGACTGACTTGACTAACTTGATGACTGACTGACTGACTAAAACTGACTGATGACTGACTGGACTGACTGACTGACTGATGGACTGACTGAGGACTGACTGATGCTAACTGGACTGACTGGTACTGACTGATGACCTGACTGATGAACTGACTGACTGACTAACTGGACTGACTAACTGACTGACTGACTGACTGACTGACTGACTGATGACTGACTGCACTGACTGACTGATGGACTGATCTGACTGATTGACTGACTGATGACTGACTGACTGAACTGACTGACTGATGACTGACTGATGACTGACTTGATGAACTGACTGACTGACTAAAATGACTGACTGACTGACTGACTTGACTGACTGATGGACTGACTGACTGACTGGACTGATGACTACTGACATGATTGACGTTGAAACTGATGATCTGACTGACTGACTAACTGACTGACTAAACTGACTGACTGACTGACTGACCTGATGATCTGACTGAACTGATGAGTGACTGACTGACTGATGACTGACTGACTGACTAACTGACTGATGACTGACTGATTGACTGACTGACTAACTGACTGATGGACTAACTGACTACTGAACTGAGCTTGACTGACTGACTTGACTGACTAACTACTGATGACTGACTGACTGACTGACTGACTGACTGACTGTATGACTGACTGATTGACTGACTGTATGACTGCTGGATGACTAACTGACTGGATGACTGACGACTGATGACTGACTGATGACTGACTGACTGACTGACTGATGACTGACTGACTGACGTGAATACTGACTTGACTGACTGACTGATGACTGTAGAACCTGGAGAATAAACAGACTAGACATGGACATAAAACACAACTAAAGGAACCTTGTTGTTTGTCCTTCAG